TTGATAGATTCAAATTTTTCATATTTCTTTTTGATTGAACACAAGTTGAAACTAATTTTTTTGATGATAAAGAAGTTGAATGATATTCTGAAGGAGGTTCTCTAAAAGAAGAATAAATAGACATAGCAATAAGAAATAATGTTGTTGAATAATTTTGGTAGATGAGTTTATATATCAAAGAAATATAATTTTACTTAAAGACTCAATTAACAATTAAAATTCGTAGAAAGGTTTGAATGGTTTCAATAAAAAAAATATTTTTAGTATAAGTATATTTCATCTAAACTATCTTCTTGAAATTTATTATTTTTTTGATAGTAGATTTTTATTATTTTTTTTAATTATTTATACTATACATATCTTTTTACTCACCTTTTGGGGGTTCTATTAGTTATTCTTAACATGAATTTTTTTCTTTATATTAGATATTCTTAATATATCAGGAAATTTAATTTTCCGTTTCCTACTTTTTTATAGTTCTTGACTTTTCTTATCTGATATCTCTCGTTCAAAAAATGTTGTGTTATTTTATTTCAATTAAAATTACATTTTTTTATATATTTTTAGAATAGGGGTAGTTTTATTACTCTCACAGTTATATCTATTTGTTCCGGTATTCTTGTTCTAGTAAATAGCTTTCGAAACAAATTATTTGTTTCACTTGTTTGGGTTGTTATTGTAAAATCGCAAAAAAAGAATGAAAATCTTTATTTATTCAATAACAAATAAACCTTCTTTAAACATCTATAAGGTTTATTTTTTTTCTTTTATATTTGAACTATTTGTTGAATTGTTATTTTAGTTCAATTGTAAAAATTTGAAATAAGATAACAAACTATCAGTTATAGCACATTATATTATAAATAAAGGACTATGTTTTTAATTAGTTTAATTCAAATTAAAATAGAGTTCAACGAAAAAAATAAAATTAGTTATTTATGTAATAACAGTTAAAATAAAGTAACTATCATAAACGTCTTTAATTATTTTGTTTTCATTACCCTTTTCATTTATTTTTAATCCTTCTTATCATTTTTATACTCTTAAATAAAACAAATATCAGTACTTTATTCTGTTTATGAAACAACTCATTTTATTCTTTTCTTTCTTCTTTTTTTGTATTTAGCTAATTAATATTTTGTTACTGGTTATGAACAAAATGAACTCTCTTTTTTTCTATTTAACTTCTTTTTAACTGATTGATTATCTCTTTTATACGGTTTAATCTTTTTATTCACTTCTGGTTTGAAGCTTACTTTCTTTAAAAATATCTAACTTATCTTATGTAATGAAATTGAAACAAACTGTCTTTTTTATAAACAAATAAAAAAACAATTCATTCTGAATCATTTAATTGGTCTCTCTTTTTTTTGTTAAAACGTAAAGTATTTTTAATGAAATAATTTGTTGGTAATGAGAAAATCTCCAGTTATTCAACATCAATAAAAATATTTATTTTGACTTATAATATCTTTGATATTTTAAAAAATTTTGTTGAATCTTTAGTTTCTACTGTGAGGGGTAATCCAATAGCCATTACAAGTCACAGTATTTGAATATATTTCAGTATGGTCTGTATCTTTTTATGTCAAACTTAATGGTATATTAAACATTTTTAATATAAAGAGAACTAAAAATAAGAAATGAATTATTATTAAAAATCTTCTTTTTATAAAAAAGAACTAATTATTAAGTAATTATTAGTTTTATGAGCCAATCACCAAAAGAACCTACCATTTCTGAATTAATTAACACAATCTATTCAATGAACACTATGATCAAACACATTTCTAAACAATGTGACCAACTTCGTAATGATGTAGATCTTCTAAAATGTTCAATTCTAAAGAGACCTTGGGTTAACCCATTTAATCAAACAACAACTAATAATCCATTCATCCAAGAAATAAACACTAATCCATTTAATCAACCAATAAACGTTAATCCGTTTAATCAACCAATAAACGTTAATCCGTTTAATCAACCAATAAACACCAATCCATTTAATCAAACAACAACCAATAATCCGTTCATTCAAGAAAAAATACCTAATCCCTTCACTCAACCAGTAAGTGTAAATAACCAAAAACCCCAACCTAGTCCAAATAACAATGATAAACCAGAGCCTAACCAAAACAATGATAAACCACAATACAATCCTTATGTACTGTCTACAATTTCCACAACTGAGCAATCACTAAAGAGCTTAAACAACTTTAGTAATTCTGAATCAAAAACGTCTTCTTTAAACACAACCAATCTAGGCTTATTAAAATTCTCTAATCCTTTTAGTTCTCGGCTTAACCAAAACACAACTACAAATTCATTTTTATCCTTCTCATTTGAACCCTCTCATTTGAAAACAAATTCAACACCACCCAATCCTTTTAAATTTGAAGTTCAAACACCTGCAGACAACTTTGGATTAGTCCCAAAATCAGACAAAGAGTCAGTGACAACTTGTTTCACATCTTTTTTAACAAACACCTCTAAAGAAAAGACAACAACAACCACTTCAAAAAATTGTTGTGACACTATTAAATCAGAAGAAAAGTCTATTAAGAGTGACAACAATGATACTATTAAAAGTGATGATATTGCTGATAAAGAACAAATTCCTGAAAACAAATGTATAGATCCAGAAGATAAAACAAAAGAGGGTCCCGTTAAAGAATTTGTTGAAGGTAATGAAAATGGAAGTGCTGTTTGTTTACAAGATGACACTAGAAAGAAAGAAAGTAAGGTGTCTGTCTCAATAAAAAATTGACCATCAAACAACTGATGATTTTTTAGTATTGACCATGAAGAAAAGTACCTTGGTTTAAAGAAGTAGTAATTCATTTTTCATTGTTGAGTAATTTCTTTTAAATCACAACTAATCAAATAGTGATATTGAAGACATAAGAAAAATAAGTAAAATGAATGGTCAGAAACAAAAGAAAAGAAGAGCAATAAATAATTTGAGTGTTAGAACAAAACAATAGAATTAGATAAACCCTGGTATAAAAAAGAAAAAATAATTTTCAAAAATATAATAGTATAATAAAAAAACAACAATTAAAATCATTTTTATTTCTTAATCTCTTTTATAAATAATTTATTATTTATTTTAAAAAACTAAACTTTTTAATTTAAAACCACTTGTCTTAATTTATTTCTTACCAATTTTCTTGCCTGGAACTACTTTCTTGTTTCCTTTAGATTTCTTTGGTGCTGCTTGTTTCTTTGGATATTTCTTGTAAATCTTTTCAACTTGTTCTTCTTTCTTTTCTACAATAGCTTTTGGTGTAACTTTCTTTTCAGTAGTGGTCTTTGATTTCTTTGATGCTTTTTGAATACCAGCCTTTTGCATCTTGTTCTTCTTAATAGTTTCATTGACTTGTTGTAATAATGGTTTCTTAATTCCTTTATCAAGTGGAAGATTAACAAGAGTTTCTGTTCCTTTACCAATAACAAAGACGTTGTTTAATCTAGTAGTGAAAGTGTTTCCTTTAGCATCTTTAATGTGAACAATTTCAAATGACCCTGGATGAACTTCTCTTTTAACAATAACTCCAACACGACCCATACCATTACCACCAATCATCATAGCAGTATTTCCAATATCAAACTTAACAAAATCAACAATTTTTCCTGTTTCAAGATTAAGTTTGATTGTATCATTAGCTTGAAGTTCTGGATGTGGATATCTAATAGTTCTACCATCATGAGTAACAATGTATGGAATAGCACCTGTTCCAAGAACTCTCTTTTCAATTTTACATAACTTGAACTAATAAAATAAGTATTCTTCTTGTTTATATAAACTCGTCATTTAACTATCACGAAACTACCAATAACATCAGTTCTTTGCAACAAATATAAACTGTCTTCAATTTAAATTCAGTTCTCCAAGAAATTCATCATATGTAATTGATCAGTTTCTTTGTGACAAGTTAAACACAATTTTTAATTTAAAATTAATAAAAACAAACTTTTGCTTGTTCAGCAGTCAATGGAACTAAGCAGAATCTTCTTTTAGTGTTATACATTAATCTAAAGTTTTCTTTAGTTCTTGGGATAGAAAGAACATCCATAAATCCAACTGGATATCTTGTATCAGTTCTAATCTTTCCGTCAATTTTGATTGTTCTGTTTTTAACAATCATTGTAACTTCTCTTCCATTTAATGCATAATTTAATCTATTTCTCAAAATGAGAATAAGTGGAAGACATTCTTTCATTCCATGTGGTCCATGTGATGGTTTTGGTGCAAAAGTTCCTCCTAATTTAGAAAGCATCCAATGGTGTGGTGCATTTAATCTCTTCAAGTGGTGTCTTGGTCCTCTAGCCATTTCAGAAAACGACTGGTTGAATTATCTTAAAATATAAAACCCTTTTTTTCTTTTTAACTAATTCTATTTAATTAGTTTATTTAATTATTCTTAATAATTTTCTTTTATATTTTATTTAAAATAGTTTTTTTAATAATATTTATAACTTTTTCATTTGTTTTAACAAACTAATCTTTTTTAAAAAATGAATAACACAATAAAAAAATGAATTAATTGTTTTGTCTTTCATAGCGTTGTTTATTCAAATCTTTTAATTTTTTCTCAGCAGCATCTAACTCTCTTCTCAATTTAAGAACTTTGATTTGTGCCTCTCGTTCTTTAACAATCAGTTGGTAATCAGTTAATTTACTAAAATCAACACTCTCATCTTTTTCTTCTTTTAACCCACTAATTGCATTAACTGCTTTTACAAGTAATTCTGTGGCTTCTTTAACACTCTTCGATGCACTTTCAACTTTACCTAATGTTGGTGAATCAAAGTCAGCTTTAGATCGTGCTGCAGTGACTAATTGAACTGTAGCCTTAGCAACTTCACGACTAGAAGCAATTAATGCATCTTCATTCTTTTCACAACCAGGTGTAACATTGTTATTTGCAACAGTAACAATTTCTTTTGTAGCTTCAGCAACTGCTTTTCCTGCAGTAACTAATCCCTCAGACCAAACTTGATTTGGTGCATAGGGCTTTGTTGGTGTAGCTAATTTCTTTCCTAATGCAACTCTTTCTTTTTGAGCTAAAGCTGCTGCATTAACAAGTGCAGCAGTTGCTTTAGCAATAGCTTGTGCACTTTCCATAATTGCTTGGTTAACATCCATTTCAGCACTTACTCCTTTTTTTGATTGTTTTAACCATTTTTCAAGGTCTTTAGCTAAGCCATTAATAGAATCAGCTGCTTTTAATAATTCTCGTTCAGCATCATCATCAATTCCACTGAAATTAACTGCTTCAGCAACTTCTTCAATTCCTTCTACAAGAGTTTTTTCTTTTGTCATATTGATATTAAAAATGTCTCCAGCTTCATTAACATGTTCTCTATCATTCCATTTATTCATTAATACTTTAACACTATCATATAAATCAGATGTGGCTTGTCTTAATTGGAGTTTCATTGCTTCATCTGCAATTTTTGGTTCAACTCCTTTAAGGTCTTCTAACAATGTTTGCATTGATTTATGGAAATTCTCTAATTCTTTTTCTGCTTCTTTTGGATGGTTTTGTTCTAATGCCATTCTATAAGCATTTCCAGTAGCATTAAGAATAGTTAAATCTCTTAAGACATTTTCTTTACTAGCATTTTTATTTCCTTCAATTGTCATGTCATTAAAGTTTTTCATCATTTCTTCAAATTCTTTTTCTACTCCTTTAACATTTGCTCCAACAACTCTCCAATAATCTTCTTCTCTTTCTTTTTCTAATATTTCATATTTTTGTTCCATTTCATTTACTTTTAATTCAAGTTCTTTTAATTCTTTTATTTTATCTTCTTTTTCTTTATTTAGTTGTTCAATATTCATGATATATTCATGATTCTTATCTTGTAATTTTTTTAATTCAACTTTCATTGTTTCATTTTCTAATTCTTTCTTTTTCTTATACTCATTCCATTCTTCCTCTTTCTTCTTCCAATTCTCAAGTTCTTTCTTTTGTTCTTCTAATTCTTGGATTAATTTCTTTTCATTTTCTCCAAGATTATTTTCTCTTAACTTTAATTCTTCAAGTTGTTTCTCTAATTCTTTAATTATTTTTTGAGCTTCTTCAACTTTATGTGAAAATTCTTCTTTTAATTGAGTCTCTTTTGCTATAACTTCTTTTAATTGATTTAATTCATTTTCAACTTCTTTTCTTTTCTCTTCTTCTTCTTTCAATTGTTTTTCTTTTTCATTTAATTGTTGTTGAATTTCCTTTAATTCTTTAATTTCATCTTCTTTTTTTGCCAATTCTTTCTTTAATTCTTCTGTTTCTTCACTTTTTCCTTTCCATTCTTCAACTTCCTTTTTCAATTGTTCAATGATAGCTTCTAACTCCTTAATTTTATCATTATTTCCTGATTCTTTTTCTTCATTCAGTTGTTTTAGTTCTCGTTTATGTTTTGCTTTTAATTGGTCTATAGTTATTTTTAATTCGTTTATTTGTTCTTCAAGTTCTTTAATTCTTTTGAGTAATTTATTGATTCTATCCATATCCACAACCTTTTCTACTTTGACAATAACTTCTTTTTCTTTTTCAATAGCAACAGGTTGTTTCTTTTGCTCTTCTTCTTTAGCAAAATCAAATGGTGCAATTGTTGGTTGTTGTGGAACTGGTTTAACTTCTTCAAATTTATTGAAGTCAAATGGTTCAAATATTGGTTGTTGTGGTTCTTGTTTTGGAGGTGGTGTTGGTTCTTTAGGAGGTGGTGTTGGTGATTTTGGATGTCCTAAAGTGATGACACTAAAATCAGGTGGCTGAGAGGATAGTTGTGGAACCGTAACCAAAGCAGTAACATCCCTGATAACACTAATTTGGTCGAATATATTTTTAAGGTCATAGTGCATTGTGTTAAATTGTGAAATCAAATCTTTATATCGTTGGTCATGATGAAGAGAAACAAAAGTATTAAAAATAATTTCATAAAACATATAATAAATACCATTTAATTCTCTCATTAAAGTGACTAACATTGCCATCAATGATAGTATTCTTTTTACATTTAATACTTTTAAAATAGCATTAGTATTATCTTGACATACCCTTAAATGTTTCATTAATGGTTCAACAATTGAACTAACACTTTCATAAGAATTAATTTTCATTCGACCAATAATTTTCTTGAATAAATCTGGGTCCATTGATCCTGGAATAAACTGATTATTTGTATGTAATTCAACTTTACTTTCTAAGACTCTGATGAATTTAAGGAATAAATCAGTTGCAACGTTCTGTGGTTGCGAGCGTTTGAATCTATCTAATTCTGGAATCCATCCTAAATTAAATGTTTTAGTTGTACAAGCTTGTTGAGGTCCATCTAGCATAATTCTATGAATAATTTCCAGAGCTTTCATTTGGGTTACTGGTGTTCCTTTTTTTATTTTTTCTAATAATTGATGATAGAGCATGACACAATATTGTTCAGTACTACATGAACAAATTAATTTTCTAACATGTTTGTCTTTTGGAAAAGAGTCAGCAGGGTCAGTTGCTTTATTGATAGTTTTCTCCATTTAATAATCAAAGATGAGATTTTTTCAAGTTCTTATTCTGCCTTTACAGCCATTTTTAGACTTCTTTCACTGAGCAAACAAAACTACTTATTTATTGATCTTTTTTCCTTATTTTTTTGGTTTTGATGATTCTTGTTTACCAAAATGATGTTATCTTTTTTCAGAAAATGAACTTTTTTTTTATTAGACATTTCAATAACTATGACCGTTCGTGAGAAATAAATGGATAAGGA